CACACGTCGATCCCATCGTAACTACTCACGCGAATCCCTTCCGGGACCGCTTCTAGGTTCATTCACCCTAATCAAAGAAAAATATTTTTGTCACCTTTACTTTTGGCCACTCGAGAGACCACCCCTACCCTGCAAGGAGAAGGTGTTTTTGAGCCCAGCAGGATCAAATGGACCAGAGAAGGAATGTCGTCTCACTCGGCTACCTTCCTGTCCTCCCCTGCTGAGAGGTCCTCCCACTTCCAGGTATAGGGACTAGCCGCGAACACAGGTTATCCCCGAAGAAGGGTGACAACCCCCTCCTCAGAGTCGGACCGTAGTCACACATCCGTGCCCTATGTCCCCCACCGAACCGACACCTAGTCCTAAGTTAGCCTATGCACCACGCCCCTACTCGGCCCACCTCGAGCGCGGAATTACCCGGGTCCCAAAACTTTATCTGCCTATCGATCAGTGATCACTAGCCTAGTTACTCCCTCTCATTCTCCTTCTCGTATCGTGAACTCTTCTCACTTCGTTCCCTTCTTCCATTTCGTCCTCAGCTGACTTTTTTCTCTCTTGGAATCGAAAAATTTAATCGGGGTATTCAAAGAAAAGGGGGTGAGGAAGTAGAGATTTAGAAAAAGTCTCTCAGGTTCGACAGTTGCAAGTACGCACCTTATTTTTTTCAAAATTCCTTTTCGTAGTCCGAATAATCCCCGAGATCCGAGTCCGAGAAATTGGCAAGACACCGGTCCACCCAAGACTCGGCCTCCGACTCCTCGTCCAAGGCGCCCCAAGTGTCTCTCGCCTCTTTCCCCCGAAGTAGCTCCCTACCCCTCCCGTTCATAATGCCGGTTGAAGTTCCCTTGACCCCTTGCCCCGGAACTCGAAGCACTACTCTTCTTACCCCCAAGTCCCGAACAGCCTCCGTTCGAGAACTCCGCCCCCTTGCGGGAGCCGAGTCGCGCGCGGGTCCCGTCCACAATCCGTGTGAATCGAGAACAGTGAACCCTGACCCCTCTCGTGACACCCTTTCCCATGCGGGAATTACGCCCCGTGCGAGCGCCGTCCACAACCCGTGTGGGTCGAGGATATTCGGCGACCCCCTAAGATCCCAAATTGACGACGCTCCCGGACCCTCTCGGACCCCCCTTTCCTCCCTCCCCCTTGCGTCCACTCTCTCCTCCCCACGTGCGGATCCTCTCACGTTAATTTCCCGTACGACTCTTCTTCCCCTTCTTCGATTGTTCTTTCCCCTCATTCAAAACCCCGCAGGCTAACAGTTTTAACCTCTTAATTTATGGATTTTAAAAATAAACATACTAAAATCACACCTCCCCAGCAGGAATCTGACCTGGATTTTCTTGATGTCGCAAGGGCCGAAGTCGCAAGGGCCGAAGTCACAAGCGGGGCCGGAGCGGACCTGCAAAAACCAAGAAATTTCCACACCCCAAGCCCCTTGCGTCCAACCCAACAACCCCAAGTCGAAACAAAGCCCCAATAGAACCCCCACCCGAATGCAGCCAAAGTGACGTCGAAAGGTCACCGAGCAGACCCGATAAATCAAAGCCGAAAAAAAAACCATCAACGCGTCGAAGAAGCCGATGCAGAAAACGAAGTGACCAGATGCCGATAAACCCTGAAGACCTTGATGCCGATATTTGGAAGAAACCCTCCACCACCTATCACGCTCTTCCTCCCTAGCACCGTGGTTCTTGAGCCGGCCGAGGCCGTGGGAGAAAGCCCATCCCCGACAACGGCGCCACTTTGTCGGGTGACCCTCGCGAACCTCTTACGGCTTGCCGAAACCGGCGGGCTTTTTCCCGCAGCCGGGAGGTCGACCGCTCGACCCCGAGAAAGTCCAATCCCCCCCGTGAATATCCCCTTTTTCCTCTCTTCTCGCCCCCCGCCCTTTTTTCGCACAATCCTGGGAGAGCCCCCGCGCAGACCTTCGGAAGGTCACGACGACGCCTAGATTTCGGAGTCGCGGCTGGTCGCGCCGGGGCGAGCTAGCAATTATTGCTGGTCCAACTGTTTCCCGTCGACTAACGCGTACAGGAACAAAGCCCCTGCGAGCAGGGGCTTTTTCCCCCAAGGGTCGGACTCGGAGTTCGGTTGGGTGGGACCCGTACCGTCTCCGAACGGTAATTCCCCAGAAAGAGTCGGTTTTGCTGTTCTTGCTAGAACGTAACCAACAAGCGAGCTTGGCGAAGATTCAAAGGAAGAGTGAACGACCCGCTCTCGTATCCTTTCCCGAATGGCCAGTTCGATCCCGAACAAGACGGGATCCTGAGCTCTGCGGGCTCGGAACTGGAGCGTGAGACGGACCCGAGCAGCGAGCGTGCAGCCCCGGTGCGAGCGCAGGTTCACAGAAAGGAGGACTTCATAGAGCCGAGCTTAAAGAAGGAGCCAAACACAGGGTCAGAGGGACTGAGAAAGGAGAACACAACATCCCAAAGACGATCTCGAACTCGTCGTGCAGAAAAGAGTACACTCCAACACACGGTTTACAGAAGCGAGTATACAAGCTCAATAGAGCGCTCCCGAACCGGAAGATCACATTTCTCAGAAGCAAGTACACGATGGTTCCTGGCTCAAAGAGCAGTTCCGAACCCGAAGTACACAGTTCATAGATGTTAGCACGCAATAGCCCTTGGCTCAAAAGAGCAATCCCGAACCCGAAGTTCACAGTTCCCAGATATTAGCACGCAATAGCCCCTGGCTCAAAAGAGCGATCCCGAACCCGAAGTTCACTGTTCACAGATGGTGGCACCCAATAGTATCGGGCCCGAAGTTCACTGTTCATAGATGCTAGCATGCGATAGTATCCGGCTCGAAGGAGCGATCCCGATCGCGAAGTTCACCATTCACAGATGTTAGCACGCAATAGCCCCTGGCTCGAACCCGAAGTTCACAGTTCACAGACGCAATAGCCTCTGGCTCGAAAGAGCTATCCCGAGCCCGAAGCTGTCGCTCCTTCAGCCCGAAGCTCCGAAGAAACCTCTTCACAGTGGCGCGCACATGATAACACCGAGTTCCACGGGGCGATTCACTGTTCGTAGAAGAGAATACACGATAGCGCCCAGTTCTAAAGAGCAACCCCGAACTTCGACGTCCCGACGCGACCCGAAACCAGTCCGTAGCCGGACCCGGATTTGGACAAGAAACGGGCGCACCAAGTGGTCCACCTTTCTCTCTCCGGCGTGGTCGCTCGCTTCCTTTGGAAGCTGCCTCCCCGTTCCTTCTCCCGTCGTTCCCTTTCTCTTTCTTTCTCTCTCTCTCTCTCTCTCTCTCTCTCTCTCTCTCTCTCTCTCTCTCTCTCTCTCTCTTTCTCTCTCTCTCTCTCTCTCTCTCTCTCTCT